TAGTGACATAATCCTTTCTATTCCTGTCCTGGGCTTCCACTCGGCTCTGACATGGCCTTTCTGCTGACCCACATTATCCCTCCGTCACTCTCCTCGCACACAGCCAGCTGTGACAAATGAAATGCTTTGTTTTGTGATCGGATAAATCTACACTCCACTTGATTAGAGTTATTGCAGGAGTTCTCCTTCTGACATCAGTCACATGGAGCCAGGGGCGGACTGACAACTCATGGGGCCCCCGGGCAATAGGGGATCTTGGGGCCCTGTGTCCTTGCCCAAACTCAAAAAAGCCTATTAAAAAGGTACCAGGGGCATCTCATGGTTCCCCCTACTGACCCCGGGCCCTCGGGCAGTGCCCTATTTTTCAAATGGTCAGTCCGCCCCTGCATGGAGCAATGCCCCAACCAGATATCCCGGGCATCTTACTCTCACGTGGCTGGATGTGGTTTATAAAGTAAAAATCCATGTTCCCATATTATTTATTGCCATGAATTCACCCAGTGGCATATTTATCATGAGGCAAACAAGGCGTTTGCCTGGGGTGGCAATTTTCAATGGGGGGGCAGAGCCGCCCCCCAGAAGAGGTGACACAAATGGCAGGGATGGGGACCTGGTGAGGTACTGCCTGAGCTCTTAAGCGAAATCTCCTGCACTCAAGGACCCAGGCGGGTGGTGAATAGATGGAACCAGACCTGGAAAGATCGACCACCAATGCATGTAGAGTTGTGCAGCTCCAAATAAGGCTGGGGAAGCCCAACCAATACTGCAAATTGAAGCAAAAACGAGAAGCGCACCAACCTTGCGCATTACCTCAGTAACCAAAGTTTATTAATTATAAAATAATACAAAAAGCGAATAAAAAGCTCTGATGAAGAAGGGATGCCCTTCGAAACGCGTCAGCTGTACTGAGTATCTACCCCCATGATGGGATCCGCACTGGCTATTTATCTTTCAGGTCCCTTTGAGGACTTACTGCCTGAGCTCTGCCATACTCCTGTCAGGGATCCTGTCGCCGTGCAGCCATGCGACGGTGACGGATCCCATCGAGCCGCGGCGGTGCGAGTGCGCAGGCGTGGGAGCGTGCGGCAGCGCATGCGCAGTAGCGCGGAAAACTTGCGCACATGTCACATCAGGCGGGCTATTTAAACCTGCTCAATAGTAAAATCAGTGCCTTCTGGTCTACAACTTCCTGCACATATTCCTGATCCTGATACCTGTATTCTGATTTACCTGACTAAGAAAGAACTCCGTCTGCACCGACCCCGGCTATCCCTGACCATTCGTTTGCCTGCTCCTTTTGTACTTTATCTGCCCGCTTGATACTGACCCGGCATGTCTGACTCTGCTACATTAACTTACCTGCACCTGCACCTGGCTTGCATCCTGTCAGCTATCATACTTACCTACTGCTGCACCCACGGTTCCGCATCTGGCCTGTATCCGAGTCACCGCCATACCTGCCTGCTACTGCATCCACACATCGGTGCTGGTCCAAACCTGCATCCTGACTGCCGCCATACCTGCTTGTTGCTGCACCTACGCACTTGGCCTGTGTCCGGATCTCCTGGGTCCCCAGCTACCTGCCGTCAGCTTCAGATTCACACGGCACTCCTGCCACTCCTGGTTCTGCGCCCTCTGTTCCCACTATCAGGTGCTCCGAGCGGGAGTTGTAAGAGGACGCCCTCTCTAAACGTCAGGCTCCCCAACCAGGTACATGACAACTCCTGACTGTACTCAACTGGAGGGTGGCCAGGTGCTTCTTTCATTCTGGTTAAGGTTAGTCCTTGCATCGGGTGGTGGTGGAGAAGGTGTTTCGCTGGGGGGAAGTGTGGTGGCGGAAGCTGATGGTGGCAGCGTGGGGGTTGGTTGCTGGTGGGGTGGGTGAGGAGTGTCCAATTTTAGTTTTTTTCTAGGGCAGAACAAGGAATAACTATACCACTGAATGTAGTATGAGTTTGACATTTCCCTTATGGACGAACAACGTCACCTTTAAACCTAACTCCAGGCTTTAGTGAATTTTAAATAGTTTGTTTGGACCAAACTGGTTCAAATGAAAATTTTCTTCAATAAACGATGCAGCTACTGTGTGCTCTGTATGATCTGCATGTAGCACCCTCCTAGATAGGTTGCTAGGATGATTAGGTACATTTTTGGGCTCCTCTGTAATCGCTGGAGCAGTTTGTGATTGCTTTGGACTGTTCTGTACTTCACTGGTTGCCGGTTTGCTTGTTTTCCCCTGCCTTCTGGAGGATTCTTGAATGTAGTGGGTCAGAAAAGGCAAATCAGCAGCCTGAATATTTATGTTATCTCAGCCATCCCTGGGGAAGGGTGCTCAGTAGGTGACTGGGGGGGTACATAAATAGTCTGGGGCCTGGGACAGACTTGTTCTTGTCCAGCAGGAGAAGTTCCCAGCCTGAAGGGCTGCTGCCCTTCAGGGTAGCCCAGCTGAAGTTTTTACATGTATTCATTAGGTCCCAGCTATGCCCAGGAATTAAATTGTCACACTTCTGTGATAAAACAGAGGTGTGACAATTTAATTCCTGGAATGCCTGTGGTGTAGCAATATGGTGGTGAGTCACAGAGCCATTAGCACTCAAGCCATTCACACTGAGGGAACCTATTTGTATGAAAATCTTTGGAACTAATTGAGGGATTTCACTGGTAATCTGGTCTGGAGAGCTCACTGGTGAATGTCTGGCTGATCTGAAGGCATACAGTTGTCCAGGTACATTGTGTCTAGTTTGTTGTGTATTTTTGCACAAGTGCCAGTGCTTGCTTGGACTGAGACAACTCTTACAATGTCCCAGTGCTGTTCATTCCCTTGGCTCCTAGTGTATAGACTGTTCTAAGAAGTATTTACAAAGTAAAAAGTGTCATCTTGTTACTACACAGTGTTGCAGGAGTATCCCATAGCTCCCGGCACCCCACCCAAGTTTATTCAGCAATAAATCTCAAAAGACAGCCTCCTAGACTGACCTTTGAGCTGGCATGTATGACTGTTGCTGTGTGCCTGGATGCCTCTGCACTAATCAGGGAAAAGAACCTGCGTCATCCAGCGACGCATGCGGGGGTAAGTGCCACATGGGCTGAGTTACAACAGTGGTTGGGAACTTCTTGTCCCACTCCTGGAGCAAAATCAAGTTGGGCTGAGTGCTGTTCAACCATTCACAGGGAGCTTTGCAATTCCTGAATGAATACAAAACCTCCTCTCACTGGCTGAAGTGGGGAGGCTGGCAGGGGGTCACAATCTCCACCTAAGCCAATCAAAGGAAACTCAGTCTGCCTCCATCTTGTTCCAGGAGCGGGACAGGAAGTCCCCATCCCACTGCCATAACTCATCAATGTATACTGTATGTAGCTGAGGTGTGATAAGGGGGAGGTGGGAGGGACTGTATTTAAGGGAGACTAGATGGCATCCTCAATGTTGGGATGGATGGGGTGAGAGGACGCACCCAACAAGTAGCAGCATGTATAAGGTGGATTTTGCCATCTGATTCACTTTTTAATAGTTTTCCAAAATAAATAGTGTTTTCAAGGGGGTGCTATATGTTACTATCCTCAGACTTATGGTATATTTCCACTGGGGGATATCCCATTTGAGGTAACAATTATCGAAGACCAGCAAGCAACCAAGCAAGGCTTATTCCCCTTGCCAGGATCTGCATAAAATAGAATTCCTTCTTGAAGAAACTTCTAAAAATGTTTTCAGCTCCACCTATACCAAGTAAGAGAATTACCATATCAATACAGGGATAAAATCTATAGGGAAATACAGTTGATACCTTCATAGGACTATCTCTTCTTTGGTAATAGGGGATACGGTACCCAGTTGGAGCGATCCTCTCTGCCACCCCCCATTCATAGAATATTGGGCAGATAATGATCACTATAGAGGCTAAGTATGAGCACAAAGTTTGCAAACTTCAAACTTGAAGCAAGATTTGTGGAACTGTTTTCAAACCAAACACAGGCAGATTCGCAAATCCCTATTCTAAACAAATACCAGTAGACTGGTGCTTTTATCATTTATGTTTTTGCATGTTTCTACAAGAATTCCCCAGGAACCCACATGGAAGAAAAATCACTACTTTTGAAATACATTTTAAGAATATTCTTCCCAAATATATTGACATATATTTGAAATACTATAATTTTGGGCACATTCAATATATTTCAAAATATATTTTTATTATATGTATATATATATATATATAAATATAATATATTATATACACTGCATGTTGAAATGCGCTTTTTTATATATTACAAAATACTGTGTATGAAAAATATATATTTTTTAAATATATTCATCAGATTTTTATTAACATATAAAAAAGTCATTTTAACGTATATTTTTACATATATTTGTAAATGCATTCCAAAAATGTAGATTAAATGTATTTTTAACCGCTAGCCTACTGGGCACTTATACCCCCTTCCTGCCCAGGCCAATTTCCAGCTCTCAGCCTTGTCACACTTTGAATGACAATTGCGCGGTCATGCAACACTGTACCCAAATGAAATTTTTATAATTTTTTTGTGACAGAGCTTTATTTTGGTGGTATTTAATCACCTCTGGGTTTTTTATTTTTTCTTAAACAAAACCACTGAAAATTTTGAAAAAAAACACATTTTTTTCTTAGTTTTTGTTTATAAAATTTTGTAAATAAGTGATTTTTCTCCTTCACTGATGTGCACTAATGAGGCTGCAGTGATGGGCACTGATAGGTGGCACTGATGGGCACTGATGAGGAGGCATTGGTAGGTGGCACTGATGGGCATTGACAGGCATCACTGATGGGCACTGAAAGGCAGCACTGATATATGGCACTGATAGGCGGCACTGATAGGTGGCACTGATAGGCGGCACTGACTGGCATTGACTGGCACTGTTAGGTGGCACTGACTGGCACTGTTAGGCGGCACCGACAGGCACTGATAGGCGGCACTGATGAACACTGATAGGCGGCACTGACTGGCACTGATAGGCGGCACTGACTGGCACTGATAGGCAGCACTGACTGGCACTGATGGGTGGCACTGACTGGCAGTACTGATAGGTGGCACTGATTGACATTGATAGGTGGTACTGACTGGCATTGATGGGTGACACTGAAAGGCAGCTCAGATGGGCACTGATATGTGGCATTGATGTGCACTGGTAGGCACTGATATGTGGCAATGATGATGTGGCACTGATGGGCACTGGCACGTGGCACTGTTCAGCATTGACAGCTGGCACTGATGGACACTGACAGATGGCACTTTTGGGGCCACACTGATCATCAGGGCACACTGATCATCAGTGTACATGTCCCCTCCGCGGAATGCTGGTTTCCGGCAATGCCGATAACCAGCATTTCCCTATTTACATGTGATCAGCTGTGATTGGACACAGCTGATCAGATGACCAAGCTGACGTCTTCGGCTCTTTCCATGGATCGGTGATCCGCTGTGTCCGAGAGACATAGCACACCACCGATCGCCACGCTGAGCGCTCCCAGAGCCGTGCATGCGCGGTGAGAATGGGAGGACATCATATGACGTCCTCCCAGAACGAGAGAACCACCTTGCGCCCGTCATTGGACTATATGGTAGGCGGGAGGTGGTTAAAGACATACAGTATATTTGAAAATGTATTTTTAAAAAAAGTTCATATATTTTGTAATAAAAATGCATTTCAACAAACAGTATATATAAATATATATATATATATATATATATATATATATATATATTTATTGAAATATATTTTGAAATATATTGAATACGGCCAAAATAGTAGTATTTCAAAAATATGTCAATATTTTTGGGAAGAATATTTTTACAAAATATATTTAAAATGTATTTTCTTCCATGTGGGAATCCCCAGGCCCCCTGAAGAGTGCTGCAAATAAACCCTCATGTTAGTATTGGAAAGCATCCAAAAATCCAGAGCTTCTCCTACTATCCTGAAGGAAGGCAATACAAATTTGATAGAGAATCTTCCTCATTGTTGCATGTGTCCTCACTGCAAATATCTCCTAGTTAAATAATTGTCATTACAAGCACTGGAAAAAGGTCACTGCTTTTCACTAAGGACACAAATATCAATACAAACATGACATACAGTTGTGACCAAAATTATTCAACCCCCCAATGCTGTAAAGGGGTTTAGGGACTATAGTGTACATTTGGAATTGTATATTCAGAATCAAATCCTACAAGGACGTCTTGTAACTACCCAAATGCAACTAAAATGACATCAATTGTTTATGTAATACAGTAGTAAATGGTTCTTATGTGGTTTCTTCATTGCCACAATTATTCAACCCCTTAAAGACTACCACTCTGAAGAACAGAGGTTTCATACAGGTGCTTTCCATCAGGTATTGAAAACACCTGTGGATGTCACCGAGCAGCAATCAAGCATAATAAGCACCAATTAGGCAGCTTTAAAATGACTGTGATACTCAGCTCCTTCTAGACATTTACTGGTGTGGTTACAAACATGGTGAAGGCAAGAGAATGGTCCAGGAAGACAAGAGAGAAGAGGTGATTTCTCTTCACAGGAAGGGCAATGGCTATAAGAAGATTGCAAAGATGTTAAACATACCATACAAGAGACACCTTAGGAAGCATCATTCGCAAATTCAAGGCAAAGGGCACTGTTGAAACGCTACCTGGTCGTGGCAGAAAGAAAGGACTGACTTCGACTGCTGTGCGCTACCTGAAGCGTAGAGTGGAGAGAAGTCCCGTTGTGACTGCTGAGGAACTGAGAAAAGATTTGTCAGATGTGGGTACAGAAGTTTCAGCCCAGACAATAAGACGCACACTGCGTAATGAAGGCCTCCGTGCCAGAACTCCCAGGCGTACCCCCTTGCTGTCTCCAAAGAATAAGAAGAGTCGACTGCAGTATGCCAAAAGCCATGTGGACAAAACCACAAAAGTTGTGGGATAGTGTTCTGTGGACTGATGAAACAAAATTAGAACTGTTTGGGCCCATGGATCAACGCTATGTTTGGAGGAGGAAGAACAAGGCCTATGATGAAAAGAACACCTTGCCTACTGTGAAGCATGGTGGAGGGTCAATCATGCTTTGGGGCTGTTTTGCTTCTGCAGGTACAGGGAAGCTTCAGCGTGTGCAAGGTACCATGAATTCTCTTCAGTACCAGGAGAATATTGGATGGAAACGTGATGCAGTCCGTCACACACCTGAGGCTTGGGAGACGTTGGACCTTTCAACAGGACAATGATCCCAAGCATACCTCCAAGTCCACTAGAGCATGGTTGCAGAGGAAAGGCTGGAACATTTTGGAGTGGCCATCGCAGTCACCAGACTTAAATCCGATTGAGAACCTCTGGTGGGACTTAAAGAAAGCAGTTGCAGTGCGCAAGCCTAAGAATGTGACTGAACTGGAGGCCTTTGCCCATGAAGAATGGGCGAAGATACCCGTAGATCGCTGCAAGACACTTGTGTCAAGCTATGCTTCACGTTTAAAAGCTGTTATAACTGTAAAAGGATGCTGTACTAAGTACTAAGATTGAATGTCACTTGGGGGTTGAATAAAACTGATAATGCTGTGAGCACAGAAAAGACATTTGTGGTTATTTCATTTATAACTGTTATGTTATATTTTGTCTGACCTACAAGTGCCTCTTTAATGTAAATGTAAGCAAGATGACTGAATGATCAAAAGCAATGTCAAACTGGCCAAAACACTCAATTTCAGTGGGGGTTGAATAATTTTGGTCACAACTGTAGGTTATATTCCTTCCAAAATGGAAAAAAGTTTTGTCTGGAGTAGTACTTTAGAGCTCCGACACTCCCAAGATGTCGGTAGCCCCTCCGTGTCCTTACATCCAATACAAGACCATTGGTCCTGCATTGTATGCAATGATGTCAGTGAGCTGTGAAAAGGAAGACTGGTGAACCCACTTCAGAAAACTGGAGTTTCCACTTCAGGCTCCTCCGTCCCAATCCGATTACTCACACTGTGCATGCTGGGTGGGGAGAGCTTGTCCCAGTTTGGTGCACAAAATCCAAAAAAAGAAGATGTCCCAGACGCTCCACACCGGCATACCGACATTCACCCAGCACCTCCATGACTAAGCCCCATGGACTGGACGAAACTTGTGGGGTATGTGGCCCGGTTGGAGCTGGACTGAGACTGTGTTCACTCAAGTGACTATCAGGCATGCCAGTGTGCAATAGAAAAAAAAAAAGAATTATGTATGGCCAGCCTTACTCATGGTCACAAAGTAGCACTTGCCCAGTTTGGGTGCATGCATGTTTACAATTTTTTTTATGCTTCCATTGTTGACGTACCAACATGTGTTGCTTCACAATGGTAGGTTTACTGTATATAGATGTCTCTCAGTGACAAGCTAAACATGACCCCCTTCACATAAATGCACATTTACTTTGGGATGCCTTCAAGTATTGCCCAATCAATATACATGTCCTTTTCTTTGGCATACTCCTCACTTATGTCCAGGGGTGGACTGACCATTTGGAAACTCGGGCACTGCCCGAGGGCCCGGGGTTAGTAGGGGCCCCGTGAGATGCCCCTTGTACCTTTTTCATAGGCTTTTTTGAGTTTGGGCAAGGAAACAGGGGCCCCATGATCCCCTATTGCCCGGGGGCCCCATGAGTTGTCAGTCCACCCCTGCATGGCACCATAATAAAGAAAAACCTAAAGCTAGTTATACACTGAGCAGATTTTGCCTGCTTCCTGCTGAACATGCCGAAGTTCAAGCCAATTGTTATGGCACTCTGACAGCCGCTGCTTCCGGCTGTCAGAATACAATAGGCAGCAGGAGAGTTTTGTGTATTCACGCTGCAGATCAGTTGAATCAAAACATTTCTCCTACTCAGTCTGCAGGGCTGAACATAAGAAATCTAAGTGTGTATGGCCAGCCTAAGTGTATCTATGTGCATACAAGGTACAGACTATATTATTTGTTTTTGGTGTTTTTTTTGGAAAGGACAGACTGGCAAAGTGGCAACTGGAACCAAGGAGCCACTCAGATGAGTTGCAGTGCTCATGTACTAACAAAGCACATGGCAAAAGGAAGAGAGAGCAGAGCGACAGGGAGATGAACTCATCAGTCTGCTGCTTCTCCTCTCACTGTCCAGTCACAGGCTGGGGAGGGAAAAGACACAGAAACAATGGACTGATGTGACTTATCTCTATATCACTTTGTTCTCTCCTTCTATCAATATGTCCTTTGTTAGTACATGAGCATTGCAGCACACCTGGCTTGCTCCTTGTTCTGGCTGACCCCCTCCTAGTCTGATCACTACTGTGCTCTATTATGTACAAATAATTAATTAATTAATTAATTAATTAATTAATTTGTGTCTTTTAAATATGCCTGGAGTTGATATCATCTGTGTATATCAAACATTCATTGGGCGAGAGCTTCAGCTTTGACAATAAAACCTGGAAGCTGATTGGTTTCTATGCAGAGCTGCACCAGATTTTGCACTCTCCAGTTATTACTTGGCAGACTTTATAACAAGGTTTAGCTGAAATTATGCTTAGGAGAGAAACAATACTCCACACTATGATCGACATATAAAAACACCATAAGAAAAAAATGGAAACAAGGGAGCTTATGCCCAGAGTAACGAAATTGCTTTTAGTCCTTTTAATCCCCGTATAAATAAGACGAGGACTCTGGTTGGTCTCTATGGGCAATGATCTGGTTTTTTTTCCACTTTTATTTTCCCTAGTGCATTACAAATAACCTACAGAGTTTTCTGACCACACGCCATCTGAAAGATCCAACTGTAAAGCATTGACTTTTACTGGCTTTACAAATATATATTTTATCTTTACTATACTTTAAACAACAAATCTTTAATTATCCGTGCAAAAGTACATCGAATAAAATATGCAATAAAACGTGATCCAAAATGGAAATTAAAATCCGTCGTATCATGGACTGGTTTATGGGGATTTGCAGATTATTGGATTCATTACAACTGATTGGCTGAACTTAAAAGTCATTGCAGCACTGTACATAGTATTATTATGGAGATGTGGTTGTTTATAAAGGCTTTCAGTGTAAGCTGGAAATCCTTTTAAAGAAAAAACGGTAATGGTTTTAAATAATTTTTTTACATTTTTATAAAATTATTATTTATATAGAGGATTTATATAGCATCAACGGTTTGCACAACACTTTACAACATGAGGGCAGACAGTAAAGTTACAATACATTTCAATACAGGACAAATTAGATGGCCCTGCTCGTTAGAGCTTACAATCAGGGGCGGACTGACCATTTGGAAACTCCGGCACTGCCCAAGGGCCCTGGGTCAGTAGGGGGCCCCATGAGATGCCCCTGGTACCTTTTTCATAGGCTTTTTTGAGTTTGGGCAAGGACACAGGGGCCCCATGATCCCCTATTGCCTGGGGGCCCCATGAGTTGTCAGTCCGCCCCTGCTTACAATCTAAAAGGGGTGGGTCAAGTGATTTAAATGATAATAATTGTGGGGGATGAGCTGATGGAGAAAGTA